GATAGATAGATAGATAGATAGATAGATAGATAGATAGATAGATAGATAGATAGATAGATAGATAGATAGATAGATAGATAGATAGATAGATAGATAGATAGGACCACACATCCTACGCTGCCTTAAGTCAGTATTTTCAATGGAAATCAAATGTCGAGTCTTACAGGTTGCTATCTCAGAATTACAAAGCCTTGTCTGCTCAATACCTAGTTTTGAGAAATTTGACGTCGAAGATTTTGAGTTTCACATCATGTCAAGCTTTTTTTAATGCAATTCTTTGAATATTTTGATAACGAATGCGAATAATTTTACAATTTTGATAGACCAGATAGAACATTTATTTCTGACCTCATGGTCTTAGTAACTGAAAACGACCAAAAATGTCAGATAGAACATTGTAAATCTGAAGTAGCGAGGTGTGAACGGGCCAGCCCGCCCCAACGACTTGATCTTGCTGGCGCAAAATAATAAATGCAAGCCTTTTGCTTTGAAATAAGAAAGCACGAGGGAAAAAGTGACTATGATATATGATAAACGTCGCAGCATTTTCAAACAATGTACCGGAAGCGTTGTGTTTGTAGTTGTTATCATTTTTGTTGTCGCTGATGCTGTTGTTGTTGCTTTGTTATTATTACTATTTATTGTTGTTGTTGTTGTTTATGTTGTTGTTGTTGTTATTACTATTGTTATTTTTGTTGTTGGTGGTGGTGGTGGCTTTATTTTGTAGTGGTTGTCGTTGTAACCTTCGTTGCTTTGGTTGTTTTTGCTGTCGTCATCGTTATCCTTGTCATTCTCGTCGCCCTCTCTGTTATCGTCGGTATTATCACTGTTGCTGTTGTTATCATTGTTGATACTATAGTTGTCAGGAATCTGCCCCTCTTTGCGAAGCCAGGAAAAAGAAATTTACGTTCAGGAGATATATGGGTGTTACTTACGAGCAGGTGCAGGCTGTTTGATTCCACCATGTGCCTGCAGCACAAGCAAGGTCCCCATCTATATTAACAAACTTGAAAGAGCACGGGTTGCCGTTGGCAGCAGCTTGCAATGGGCATGCTGAGGGGTATCAAAACAATAGATCATTAGACACAATAAAAAAGAAGGCAGTCAATTACAAGCATAACTAATTGAAGAAAAAAGAATCCTTTCCATAGAAATAAAGACAATGGTAAACATGGATAAAATGTCCGAAAATGTGACATTTATGTGCTTTCGTCCCGACGCCTAATCTTCTTCTCAAGCAATTAGGACTTAAGAGCACAGACATTCACATCACAGGCACACATACACATGCATACACACACACACACAGACACACGCGCGTGCGCACGCACACACACACACACACACACACACACACACACACACACACACACACACACACACACAAATACACACACTCCTACACACAAAACACATACACTCACACCCACACCTACACACACATATACTAACTCACTCACTCATTCACTCACTCACTCACCCACATATTATTATATGCATACTGGCGAGCAAACATGCACTCTCATTGACTTAAAATCAAAACGTGTTCAAACTAAATACTCACACGTCTGTTGTGGGTTATTCACGAGTATGCTTGGGCACAATTCGTTAGATTGGCAAGCCACACCGTTGACGCATTGGCCCCTAACTCTGTCAAATGACTGTCCAACGCCGCAGTCTTTTTGCGTAAAAACATTCTGTAGATAATGTAATAAGAAAAGTCAGTATGCCTCTGGAATGGAAAGCTTGTTTTATTATTAAAATTAACACGGAATCCTATGGTGTAGCATTTCCATTCTGAAATCCACTTTAAAAAAAAGCATATTATCTTAATTAAAGCATACACGTTAAATGTATTGGAGTGCTGCTGTGTTCACCCTCCCTCCCTTTCAGTTTGTCTGTCTCTCTCCCTCTCTCTCTCTCTCTCTGTCTCTCTCTCTCTCTCTCTCTCTCTCTCTCTCTCTCTCTCTCTCTCTCTCTCTCTCTCTCTCTTAAATCTAAAATGAAAGGCCTCTCTCTCTTTGTAGTATGAGCGCGTAATTGTGTGTGTGTTTGTTTGTGTGTGTGTGTGTGTGTGTGTGTGTGTGTGTGTGTGTGTGTGTGACTTGTAAAATTGCAATACATTTTTAATCACTTACATTGCATTCAAGACCTAAGTACTGATATCGTAAGAGACATTTTAAAATGTTATTTATGCTTTTTAAAATTTTCTTTTTTAAAAAAAATTTTTTAAAAAATATTTGGAAAATGACCCATCCGACTGAATTATATATTAGTAGTGAGTGTGAGAGAGTGACGCCCCCCCCCCCCCCCCCCCCACGGCCAGCTCAGACCCAGGTGGATACACAATCTGAACAGATGGAAACGGCCTACTAACACAAACAAAACAGACAACAACAAAAAAGCCTAAATAACCCAAGAAGCATGTTTCTACTCAGAAATCAAACCAGACGATACAGCACTTAGGCTGTTGTTCAGACTTAGTTACCTCAAAATTACAAAGTTCTATCTGAATTTTTTGGTCGTTTTGAGTTACTAAGACCATGAGTTAGATTATTTGGAATCGTTATGAAGACGTTCAAAGAGCTGCATTTGAAAAAGCTTGACATTACGAAACTCAAAATCTTTGACGTCAAATTTCTCAAAACAAAATACTGAGCAGATAGAACTTTGTAATTATGAAGTGGCGACCTGTCGCTTACATTGTTACATTCCCAGTACTTATCGCAGCACAGATCTGGGAAATTTATCAACGAGTTCGGGCAGCTCCCTGAAACAAAATCAATTGTATAGGTTACGAAACTTACAAAAAGAGCCACTCTCTGTCGGCCACATTTCAATGACCATTCATACATGCATGCATACATATAACATACATAAACGTAAAACACAAAAGCATGGAGCATGTTAAAGAGCGAGAATATGAGCTATGTAAAAACAATTATTATTAATTATTGTTATTAATATTTATTCGAAACTGTGGCATCAGATTGAAAAGCATTTTTCTCCGAGAACAGAGGCCATTTTCAGTTTTGTTAGCGGCACCCCAGTATCTCATGGACAGAGACGAAAACAAAACAATATTAGAGAAGTTTTCCAAATGGCGAGCTATGAAAGATCTATAATTAAAACCACCCAAAAGAGACAGCTGAGATTCTGTGACCTCTTAAATAGTTCTTGTAGACTAGAGAAACTGTTCGAGTGTCGAAACATAGTGGTAAAAAAGAGCAGAGGAAGATGAAGAACAACACAGAGATGGCCTGAACAAAATTGCAATAAATAACACAATGAGACAAACCGAGGAGCTGGTCAGTGGTCAGGAAGACAGACAACAGGAAGGAGTGAGATACCTTAATCATCGATGTCTGCTCCAGACCTGACACCTGAAGAAGAAGAAGCGGCACCCAAAAATTGACGTACCTACAGAAACACGCCAGTTTCTAAAAGTCAGTATTTTTAAACATTGCCTTAAGGAGACTATGTTTACGTAGGTAAATAAAAATACTTACAGCTTTTGCAGACTGTGTCTTGGGGAGCTTTGCAGTTTTGACTAATTTCGTCGAAGAGTTCTCCTACATTGCATGACCTCGCCTTGGCGTAATTGGCCAAATCACACTGGTAGAAGAGCTGGCAATAATTAGAGTCGCTCATGGTGTTGACGCCACGAATAGTCCTCTGGTTGTCGCAAGCTTTGAGATAAACACAAAAAGAGGTTGTATTTAAAAAATCCGAGAACAACAAACTTCCCAAAACTACTTAGCCTCTATGGACAGTTATCACCATGATAAATTTCAGTTTAGCCCCAATTAGATTACTTCTCATGTTTTTATCGCAATTGTTTTTTGGCTTTTTAAAATGATAAAATGTTTCTGAAATGTTTTCCTTTTTTAATAACTTCAACATGCTAATTTTTTTCTCCTGTAAATCACCACCTGATATAAATCATTTTGTACTTGACTTAAAGAAATATTAAGTTCTTATTTCTGAAATTTGATGACAATATAGACAATGGGAGATGCAGGTGAAAAGGGAGTATATTAATCTCTAAAATCTTTTGATAAGGTCAGCCACCGTTTGTGACTGCTGAGACATCAGGCGTCTTCTTCTTCTTCTTCTTCTTCTTCTTCTTCTTCTTCTTCTTCTTCTTCTTCTTCTTCTTCTTCTTCTTCTTCTTCTTCTTCTTCTTCTTCTTCTTCTTCTTCTTCTTCTTCTTCTTCTTCTTCTTCTTCTTCTTCTCCTTCTTCTTCTTCTTCTTCTTCTTCTTCTTCTTCTTTTTCTTCTTCTTCTTCTTCTTCTTCTTCTTCTCCTCCTCCTCCTCCTCCTCCTCCTCCTCCTCCTCCTCCTCCTCCTCCTCCTCCTCCTCCTCCTCCTCCTTCTTCTTCTTCTTCTTCTTCTTCTTCTTCTTCTGCTTCTTCTTCTTCTTCTTCTTTTTCTTCTTCTTCTTCTTCTTCTTCTTCTTCTTCTTCTTC